CTTGTGCTTAAGCGTATCCAGGCTTGGTGATCATCATTACTTCATCGTTCAATTCCCTTATAGGCACTTCTTCTTCTAAACAATCCACCTTGTTGACTTCTCGGCCAATACTTTGTTCCAACTCGAACACTGCCAATTTGTCTCCCAATGCTTTCAAGGCTGCTTCTTCTTTTGTCTTGTCTTTACATTCTGTATTGATAGCCATTAATTTGGCTTTGAAGGCCTGAACATCAACCATTTGCCTTTGTTGCTTACCACTCATTTAAAACTCTTTAATTACTTTTTTGCCAATTACTGGCTCTTCCAGGGCCACTATGTTTGGCCTCATTTGACTGAACATTTTAGTGAATGCATATACCGAAAACGGCTCCTCGCTCTGTACAACAATTTGAGTTTCTTCTCCATCTTGGGACCACTCTGACAGGTCAGTAATTTCCTTCGTACATGAATCTTTCCACTGAGTTTGCTTCTGCGACAAAAGGTCTATGATCTGCCTGCACCACTTCTACTTCATCCTTGTCATTCCAGAAAACCTGGCATTGATGCAGCGACTTTCGTTTATCTAATCCCTTCCTAATAACACATTGTAACTAGTAGAACCATCTATTACAAAGAAGACTGTGGTCCTAATAGTTGTCCCTACAGTTATGTCCAATAGCATAACCCTTTTAGCTGAAATTGCTCATCCATTGAAACTTGTAAGGATGACTTTTGTTGGAATCACATCACTTTCTGTCTTTGCAAACTTCCTCATCATCCTAGATGGAATGGTATTTATAGCTGCTTCATTATTGATAAGTACTTTTGCCACAGGTATACCGTTAACTAAAGCCTTAACGTACAATGGTCTCAATTGTTTAGTTAATTTCATGTCTGGTCTCTTAAAAATAACCTTTTCGGCAGCATCTATTTCCACTTTCTGCTTGTTCTCTGTCGAATTATCTTTTTGTGATAAGTCAACGTGCAGTATGTCGCACTGAGCTTCCGCTTCCTAAATTTCCTTTTTATTATTTTCTAATACTTCTTCTTTGGTTACCCAACCTGTGGGAGGAGGCATTATTCTTGGAGGTGATCCATACTTTTCAGAGCGAGGTACCTTCTTTTTCCTCTTGGGTGTCCCATACAGCATGTAATAATTGAAAGAACGCCCAGATGGTTCCCCCAACAAGTCCACTTCACGAACTCCCTCTCGATGTAGTTGTTTTAACAGAGTATTGTGCGATACTCCTCTTTTTCTTCTTTCTGCTTCCAGATCAATTTCCTCTTCGATGTCCGTCATACCATCATCCTCTTCACCATTGTAGGCCCCTCTAGAAGTTTGGCCTTCTTCACATTCCAGCACACATGCTTCTTCCTCGTTATCCTCCCTCTCTTCTGCTTCTTTCTCTTTGTTCTTGAACTCATTAGCTAGTAAATAGTTATTAGCCATGACAGGAGGTAACGTACCAAACTGAATAGTAAAGGGCTGATTTGGATCTTCTCCATCCCTTCTGCATCGCTCAAACTTCGATCTCCCAGAAGAACTCTCTGGCAATTCTTCCATCGACTCACCTGTACCGATCTCCTCACTATCTTCGAGAACATTTGATTGGCCACCTCGAGTAATTTAGGCACTTTAGGACGTGGCACTCCCTGTTGTTGCCTCATCATTCGTCCATAATTCCGTTGAAAACGCCTTTGTTGGGTTCTAGTCATCTCGTTAAAGGGTACCACCCTTCCTGTATTATACTGGAACGAATGTCATACATTTAGTTGGCGAGGTTGTGGCATGAATGTTCTCCCATTATTTATTGACCTAAACTGTCTCTCGAAAGGCGGTCCCCTATAGAATGATGTACCTCGTCCTCTACCAGGCTGAGCGTTTGCGAAAAAATCAGGGCGATGGTAATGCTGCCATATCCCTGGTTTCTCTGTATTTGCACTCACTTCTCTTTTACATCTTGCACACAGGACGTCTTCGTCCTTTTCAGGCTCCTTCCCTTTGATACGTTCAAAGATACTGGGGTGTGGCCCAGGGTCCTCTTCTCCATCATCTATAACCAACTTGAATTTTGGCAACTTGTTTTTGAAACCAGTCATCACCATGTTCACCCCAAGTGGCTGTGGAAAAGGGTTTTCGTCCACTGCCATCTTCTTCTTATCATCAAACGTAATTCGTCCTGATTCAATGGTGTCCTGTAACACATGGCGAAAAACCAAACAGTTGTTAGTCAAATGCGACCATGCATTATGCCACTTACAATATTTTTTACCTTGATTTGTTCAGGGCTTGGCAACTTATGTTTATCGCTCAACTTCATCTGCTTATCCTTATATAGTTTATCAAATATAAGGTCAGCTTTGATTGCATCGAATAAGAACGTTAGCCTTCTTGTTTTCATCTTTTATAGGCTCATCCTTACCCGACGATCGAGGCTTAGCCATTATAGGACAAGTATACGCGTTTCCTTTGATTAATTCGGCAAAACACATTTCGATTTGATCATAATACTCGTCATTAATGATATGAACATCAAAATTTGGGTCTCTATAATAAGTCCCCTTGTTAGAATTTTTCATTTACTCTTCTTCTCTTATTAATCGCTCATACCTAATCACGTTTGCGCTCAATTGGAAAAAATCAGGAAATTTCCTGTCTTGGAATTTCTTTTTCAAATTAAAGTTTAGACAACTTTGAGCGATTTTAACAAACTCCTTTTCGGACAAAGGTACAAAACATTTACTTCTTGCTGTCTTGAACCTTTGAAGGACACCTTCTGCCCGTTCGTTTGGTATTTGATGTAGATTTGCCAAATCAGCCAAAGTAACTTCAGACCCAGTCTTATAAAAACGAGCATGTAACAATTACTCCAATTGTTGTCATGTTTGAACAGAGTTCGCCGGCAAATTGATGAACCAAGAGAAAGCTATTCCTGTTAATGAATTAGGGAACAACCTCATTTTATGGTAGTCGGTTTCTTCACCACTTTGCAGTGTGAATCGCCCTATGTGTTCTAGAGTAGACACCTCTCCTAAACCGGTAAATAATGAAAATTCTGGCACTTTATACCCTCTAAGCCATGGATATGCTTAGTCTACCCAATCAGGGTATAACTTTGTGTAAGTCGGCCTAATGACAGGACGTACCCCAAAAGCCATTTGATCATATACTATTTCCATAATTTGATTTCTCAACATAACGTTGAGGTCATATGGAATTCCTACAGGTTGGTTGATCGATTGATTTGCCTGAGACCTGATGTTTGGTCCTTGGCTAGCAACAAAGTTGCCATGATTTAGGTCATTGTTATCAGTAGCATGAATATTTATTCCATCTTTGACACGTGGGGTATTCTGTCCATTATTTAGGACATTATCTCTTATATTTAGGTTACCCCCCAAGTTAGATGTACCATTACCACTATTCTGATTTGGCATTACACCATCCCCTGATTTGAAATAGGTGGACCAAAAGGTGGTTCTATCCCCTGATTTGGACTTAAGACTGGGGAATTATGTCCCACGATTGTCCTAGTTTGAAAGTGATTTGCAATAGACACAATTGGCTGACAAATTTGGCCTACTAACTTATTTATTATTTTATTTAATGTATTCAGTTGTTTGACCATGTTGTCATAATGTGCATTCCCATTATGGGTAAATCTTTCCATATTATGAGCATTTCGTATATTTACCTGTTCAACGACATCCTGTGTGAGTTCTCAAGTAATGCACGTATGGTTCGAGGACTCAACTCTGTCATTGGTTCGTAACGACTGTGACTACTCTGACTCTGTCCCTCTGTTCGTGGTGCCGCTCCTCATATCGCTCGATCACAAACTGGACTCCTCCCTGACTTGCTACTTCCTTATCAAATTTGTGAGGCATATTGTTTCACCTTTTGTATCTTCAACACCAACCACCAAGGTCCCATCGGGTGTGCTAAATTGTTTCGCGCGGGTAGTCGCTAACAATTAAAAAGGAATCAAACGATTGTGTAAGGAACAGACCTCTTGAAACGAAGTCCCAAAAAGGGGTGTTTTATTGGCGATGATGTACAATTGGAACTAAACAGAATGCCTCCAAGGGGCGCAAGCACACGAGTACTAAAAGAAATATTTAAGTTTAAACTAAGAAATTTAAATTATATATTCTTTGTTTGAGAGTATTTGATTCGAGGTCCTTTTCTCTATGTCTTCTCTTCCTTTTATATTCCCTTGATTATTTTTTCGTGGCAAATCGTTTGAAAACTGCTTGATTGCTGTATAACTACCCACTTTCTTTATGGTAGCTAACTTGTCGTGGAACTGCCGTCCCTAACTGTTGCCATTACTCTTTGTCGTTCAACCACCTTCAACTGGGCTCCTTGAATCGTGGAATGTGATAAGATCACTTAATAACTACTTCAATAACTGCTATTCTGGATAACCATAATGTTTTATGCTTGCTAAGATCCTAAGCGATTCGAAGGTTTGGGCGAGAACGGGGTCATCGCTCTGGACGATCGTAAGGTATTTTATTCGTTCAGATTCTGGGCGTCTTGGAAGCTTGGGCGATGATGTTACCGTGTTCGTGGGCTTCTACCGCATTTATCAAAAATCCTGTTTGGACTTTTATCCTGGATTCCCCAATTAGGCTTCACTTTTTGGGCTATTTGATTTGTGCTGCACTTTTAGGGTATCAACACTTACTGATCTTTCTTAACTGTTTGCTGCTAAGGACATGTCAACACCCTTGTCTCCTACTGAACCAGTTAATTGATGGCTCTCAATATCGAGAAGTTATTGTCTTGTAGTATCTTTCCCTTACCGTCCATATATCTCTTCCACTGTATATGTTGGAACCAATTGGTTGCAGAATATGTTGAAACAGTTACCTACTACTTTTCCAAGTAATAACTATTATCTGTGATAATATTGATGCTACATATCTCAGGGCTAATCCCGTATTTACCTCAAAGATAAAGCACACTGCAATTGACAATCACTTTATTAGAGGCCAAGTTATGAAGAAAGTATTCATTACAACAGGCTGCCAACATCCTTGGCTCGGCCTTTGAGAACAAATTTTTGAATTTTTCCAGTTGAGTTTACAGGCAAATCCCCAAAAATTACATAATGAGGAACCATATAATGAGGCAAATTACTTTGGCAAAACTTGATAATCTCTTCAAAACTCACATAAGTTTCCAGCTTTAGCTTCACAAAAGCACAAGGTGTCTCTCCAAGAATATGATGGGGTTTTCCAACAACAGCAGCCTCCAAAATCTTTGGATGCTTAACTAAGATAGCTTCAATCTCAAGTGTACTAACGTTCTCGCCTCCACATATGATCATGTCGTCCCAACGATCCTTCATTTCTATGCAACCATTGGGATATCTCACCCCAACATCCCTAGTCCTATACCACCCTCCCTTAAAGGCTTCTTGTGTTGCTTGTGAATTTTTCATGTACCCCAACATCATAGTATTGCTTCTGAACATCACCTCTCCTATTGTCTTTCCATCAAGTGGCACACTTTTCATTGTAATGGGATCTTTCACATCAACACATTCCATCAACAAGCTGTGAATGCCTTGACGAGCTTTTATATTTTCCTCATCGTCTAAATCAGTCGAATTATTCTGATTCAAGATTTTCAGCATCACTGGACCAAGAGCTTCACTCATTCCATATCCATGTGTGATAACAAAACCCAAAGCTTCAAGTCCTTGTAGAATTTCAAGAGGTGGTAGTGTTCCTGCAACTGTTACATTCACCTTGCGACTTAAAGGACGCTGATCAGTGGCTGGTGTTTCCGCAATCTTATTTAAGATTCCGGGCGCCCCATAGAAATGTGTGACATTGTGATGGAATACAGCATCGAAAATGTCTTTTCCACTAATATTTCTGAGACAAATATTCGTGCCACCAAGAGCAGCCATTACCCAAGGGAAGCACCATCCGTTGCAACGAAACATGTCAACTGTCCATAAAAACACAGGCATTTGCCTCATCTCGCTGCGAAAAATTATAGCTAATGAATTCAGATAGACAGCCCTGTGACTGTATACAACTCCTTTAGGATTTCCTGTTGAACCAGAAGTGTAATTTATTGAGATTGGATCGCGCTCATCCTTTGGATGTAGAATCTTGAAGTCAGCTTTTCCCATTTCAATTAGCGTTTCATATTCCGAGCAAATTTCTACATCTGGTTCCTTTATATTAACTGATAATGTTGGTTCCATATTGCTTTCCTGGATCAAGACCAGGAGAAGTGGCTTGCTTTTTATTTCAGACAGCATACTGATAGCTTGCTGAACAACCTCAATGTATTGATAGTCCACAAAAACAACTTTGGGTTGCAACTGGTCTAGTTTCAGTGCTAATGTAGTTGCATTCAGCCCTGTGTTAAGCGCGCAATGGATGGCCCCAGCCATTGGAGCGCCAAAATGCAGCTCGTACAATGCTGGAATGTTCGGCGCCACTGCTACAACCTGATCATACAAAGCAATGGCTTTAGTTGAAATAAAGCTGTATATGAAATGTAAGAACCAACTGTAGCTTCAACTTTTTAACAGCCAAAACACACTATATATTAAGGTTATTAAACTGCATCACCTGAAGCATAGATTAGTTCATTATAATCTTAGGTTTCTTTATCTTATTGAAACAAGAACGTTCTGAAAAGAATAAAATATTACACTTTACAATTAATACTTGAGCGTTTGATTGAAACTCTATTTAACTTCTTCACTTTTTGTATATTTTCAATAGCTAAGCAGTAACAGTTTGCACATTCGAAGTAGACTGTCAAATATCCTCACAAACTCCTTTTCCTTAAAAAGATATAAAAATAACTTAATTAAAAAGTTACATATTGAATATACTATTGGATGAATGCGCAAATGTTTGTTTGCGGGATAATCTTTGAAAGCCAGTGGCGAGTCATGATTTTTGGTATGGGGGCACTACGGGGGATAGTGGTTCCAGGAAACTAGCAGTGCTACGTCGTTTGCAGGGGCGGACCCAGACAGATCGAACTGTGGAATCAAAAATGAAATTTTTTTCGAACAACGTATTATTAACGAAAATAAGACCATATACTACTACAATAGGATTTGGGTTTGGACTTTTTGGACATTGGGCTAGGGAAATTAATTGGGTTGGCTCACTACTTTGGCAAAAAATTACAAAGCAAGGGGAAAAAAAAAAAGAAAATTCAAAAAATTGTGAAGTAATTTGACCCCACATGACCTCATGTGGGTCCGCCAGTGGTCGTTTGATAGTACAACGATAGTAACAAATAATAGCATTTGAAGAAAACAATAAAACGACATATTTGCTTTATTATTTAAATGGTAGAAATTTTGGTTTGGCTTAAGTTATCTCATATGTGAGGATAGATGGAATCAAAAGAATACTTTTTTCACTGTGTGATCCGTTGAACATAGATCTAGTCAATTTTATTTTTTTTTTTATTCCTAGAAATTTAGGTTTTTTAATTATCATGGTATTGAAAAACCGCTATATCAAGATATCTTACGGTCTCTCCAAGAAAATGAATATATCCATAAAATATTTCAAGCTCAATTCTTTATTTTCTCTCTACATTATTTTTTTCTCTACATAGATAAACCCACCTACTCGACTTCTTTTTTTTTTTCGACTAATCCCAAGGGACTTTGAAATTTACAATCGGATACTCATCTCAGTGACCATGATGGTACTCGACTTCTTATGTTTAAACAATAATAATTCATAGCATGCATGATCATAAATTTTGAGTTAAGAATCCTTACTTGAATTGGTGAATACTATGATCTTTTGAATTGTTGAATTATTTTACTTTTTCAAGCATCAAATTCTGCATTTTCTTATTCTTTAATGGTCCCAGTCATGATCACAATGAAAGTGGATTATTATCTACAATCTAAATACTTTATTTTGTGAGTTTTCATGTCAAAATAGTAATTTTATGGCCTTTCCAATTTTGGTGCATTTTTTTCACATACGAATTTTACCATATTTTATTGTCATCATTTCTGTCTCATCATGCAATTTCAAGTGACGGGAGCTATTTCAAGATTATGGAAGTGGATGGGAGTTGAGGGAAGTTATTGGTTTGAATTCTATTCAAACCACTCCCTCCAATTCAGTTTAATAACTTGTAGGTCAGGTCACCCCACATGGGCGATTCACAACCCATGTTTTTCAACATCTCCTACTCACATATGATGGAATTGATCCAAACTACAAGTGACAATAAATGTCATATCTTAGATCATTCTCAAGATCTATCTCACAAAAATTCATACGACAAATAGATCGTTCAACCAATAAGTAATATTAGAGCTCACGGTATTATAAACCAGTTAGGAATATATAGTAGATCTACTAGAGGAACATCACATCTCGCTATACCCCAAACTTATTTTCCAACATAAATTTAAGTATTTCGATCTCTCAAGTATTTATGAAAAATACTTGAACCGCACATCGTATCATTATATTCACGATTGTTATACCCAAAAATGGTTAAAAACAATTGTCCGTCCGGTGAATACAAATATAAATATTGATCAAAATTATTTTCATTTCCTACTTGAATCCTTTAACTTTAACTGAATCAATCATAGTCGTTGGTAATATGCTAAAATAGCAACACTGAAATAATATCTCAAGAAATAGTCAAAAATTATAAGGGTATATATGAAATTATATAAATCTCAAGATCTCACACAATGAGAAAGTAGGGATTCATTCATTCATTTACCCAATATTGATCATAAAAGTACACATTAAATGAAACTCGATCTAGCTACTAAACAAGTTTAATGAATAGAAAAATTCATTTTGATTACTTAATGTAATATCATCTTAATATCTTATCAAGGCGATCGAATTATGTACACAACATAATCACTTCGTTTCATTTCAACACATTCAAAGTGTCTGAGGTGATTATTCATGTGAGTGAACCAATCTCAACTTGTTCAATATACTTTATACGTACATACAAATCATTATCTCGTAATCTCAACATTGGATTGCACATGAACTCAAACTTATTCATATATCAGCACGCAAAACTCAATTAAGTGTTTTCTAATACAATAAGTACCATATTTTACACAATTCTAGAGATTCGATATTACCAACAAGTATATCATAGACATTTTTAGAGTGTGATGATTACATATCATTATTTACATAGATATGTCACAAAAACACTTTCTTTGTAATGTCTCTCGTGAAAATATCATCAAGTGTTTGGTTCCATCTTGATACTTGAGATCTTCAACACATGAAATAATCACATAAATATCATGGATATCATACTTTCAACTAGTATCATTAGATACCCAATACATCTATACCAAATAATTTCTTCAGCTACCAAGACATACACTACAAATTATACTTCTTGTTGCTATATATAGCAAGAGTGCACAAGTCTAATGACTAATTGTGCTCGACTAACTCTCATACTTAGTCAACATTTGCATATCTATTCTAATAACAAGCTATTCTCTCAACAATAAAATAGAATAACATCATAGCATACTTCTAACTCCTAATCGTACTAGATCTATGGCATGACAAATATTAGAAGAAGTAAACATCATAGCATATTTCCAACTCCTAATCGTACTAGATATGATTCTCTAAATATTTGTTTGTGCACTTATGGTGTTTTTGGACATATACGAAGACTCATACAGTCGCCTTCCGATATAGAAGTGTCAATAGTATAGCAATTCACAGTTAAAAATATTCTAGAGTCTTTATAGTATACGACTCTTATGATAGATTAAGGAGACTAAAATAATCTTTTTAATACGAAATGTATAAGTTGCAAAACCTATGTCCTTCATCTTAAAGATCGAAAGCACTTTGTTAAATCCATAAGGTCCAGCCTTTATCCATTGGTACAATACAAGAATTAAATTCATGACAGATACAAGATGGGAGGTGTGTGCAAGTTTCCAACCTCTTGGACAATCTATTTCTAACTTGGATTTTGCCATTTGTACATTAACTCTTACTACTTTGTTTATAGAAATATGTGTTGGCAAAAATATATTGGATGAAAAGATGATTTTTTTTAAACATTAGTTCATTTTGAAAACAAAAAACAAAAAAAAAAAGATGTCAAATAGAATGCATACCACTATTCAAACTTTTGCTGGAGCGGGTCAGCCCATTCATGGCCCAAGTCTTCTCAACAAATGTGACTAATATAGTAGAAATTACACCAGAGCAAGTGTTTAAAGACTTCTATTCATAAATCAGGTATGAAGTTTAATTGAGCAAAAATCAATTACTCAATCGAAATGACTCTCTTTCATCTCTCACTCCTACACACACTTTCTCTACCATTCTCTATTTCTTCTTATCGATCATTGGTCTCTCTTTATTGGTGCAAGCATTGGTGGTGCTCTGATTCGATGAAGCTCAATCGCCACTACATGCGGCGGCACAACAACCAATTCATCGGCTCAGTGCTTTTCGACGATTGAGCGCTCATTATTATGAAGAAATGTTTTTTGGCTGTAGATATAGCTCTAAAAAGTGACATCACCTATTCAGATTTCTATTTCAAAATTTAACCTTTGCATCTTCTGTTGTGGCTATATATAACTGGTCTTAATTCGATGTGTTTATGGTTATTAATTTTAGGTAAATGTGGTGGTGGTGGTG